AGTTGAGTCTCGCTAGCTGTTGGCTGCCACCGGTTCCCCAACCACACCCCTAAAACGGCTCTGGCGTGTGGGTTACACATAGGCCTTGGCCTTGGCAGGGGAAATGTAAACCACTCGTGTCACTCCTGGCTCTTCACACCTCCTGCCCAAACCTAACCCTGCCCTGAGAGCGGCCTGCTTTCTTGCTGCGGGCAGATAGATGAGCGTGGTGCTGTTATTTGAATGGCCCAGGCTCAGTCGAGCCCAACCGATACCCCTGGGAATTAGCCCCGGGAATTCCTGTAACGTCCTGTCAGTGTTTGCCCCAAACTAGTGACCATTGCTTTCTCAGGCCTGCCTAGAGGCTTGTACTTTTAACCTCAGCCTGCTAAGACAACTTTTGTTCATCTACCGACCAAGTACAAAGATCAGATTCCTTTGTTTCAAACACGAGAGGTCCCTGTGTTCCCAGAAGAGGCTAGAAGTCTTGCTTTTAAAGAAATGGAGCTGGGACTAAAACTCGGGGCTTGACAGTTTGCTACCCTTTTGCCTGTTGTCCTGGTGCAAGACTCGGAACAGAGAACATTACTACGTCAGAGTAGGTCTTTGTCACTGCCTCTCATGTGCCCATTGAGATAGTAGAAACTATTTGGTTTGTGCCCCGCTGTTATTAAGTGGTAAACAGGTATTTAGAGATTGTGAGATTATGATGCAATTCGTCATAGTATGTCCTGAATATGAATATACTGTATTATCTATTCTCATCTAATTTTCTGTTCCCAGCTGCTTTTTCAGGAACATAGTCTTACATCTTTCTGGGTAAATATGGACTATAGATTCATAGTAGATTAGAGTTAGGAAACTAATTACAAGTAAAAGGATTGGTATAATGTAAGTTACTTAAGTACTGAGTTCGGACTTCAGAGGCTTAATTATGACATTGAAATGATCCCTGACACTGAAAATTAACCATGGTTTCTGGAAAGTTAATACAACTTAATTCTGTTAAATGTGTTTTTATTGGGTTAAATAGAAAAGTTTGGGTTTTTTTTTAATAAAAGTATTATAATCGTAGCAGGTTGAGATTGTGGAAATTTTGTTATTGTCAAAGAAGAGAATATATTATCTCTGTGTGGCAGTAGACTTATTAATAATTGGTACTTGATGCGTTTTGCCCAAAATTGTTATGTTCTTATTAAGCTTCCGTAGTTCTGTGTTTTGAATTTATAGTTTACATAATGGGAACATTTTCTTTTTTTCTAGAGAGGACATTTCAATCGAATATCTCATGGCCTACAGGGAGTTTCTGCAGTGCCTCTGAGAACTTATGCAGATCAAGCAAGTAAGTATTTAGCACAGCAGTTTTTAATTAAATTAGCTGATGGTTCCTTTGAAAAAACAAGTAGGTATTAGAATGACTATCAAATAATCTTTGTGTGTGTTTTTTGAGCCCTGGTGTGTTCCAAGTTGTAAACAAGGCAGAATCCTGCTTTTGTGAAACTTACAGGCTGGTGATAAAGACCCATCAATATAGAAGTAACAGGTAAATAATTTAGGAAATAATTGAAAATGAAAGCAAGTAGCTGGGAGGGAGAGAGACTGTTTAAGAACAGGATGCCAGTAAAGGCCTTCCTGAGGAAGTGATGTCTGAATTAGGTGAGACAGGTTATTTCAGCAGTGAGAAAGGTATGAGATTAGAATTAGCTTGTGAGATTTCAGGAATGGCAGGAGAGGGCTGATGCAGTTGGTGCAGAGGCCCAAGGAGTGGGGTCTCAGATTGTGGAACGCTTTGTTAACCAGGCCAGGTGTAGATTTTACTGCATGTGTGGGGAATCACTAAAGGGTTTTGAGCACAGGAGCAATTTCATATGCGTATGGTTTTTAAATTTAATTTTACTCACTGGGTAAGATTGTGTTGGTTGTTTTAATACTGTTTAGAGTAGTGAGATGACTTTAATATTCTGAATGAAAGTCTTGGGTTCATTGAAAGCATCTTTTAGGTAGCAGGGTGTACCTGAAAGGATTATTGAAATTTTTTTTTTTTTGGCCTATTTTTGAAATTACTGTGAAGGATTTGTGTTTTATTTTTTAAGCATTTAAAACAGGAAGTACGTTTGATGGTATTGAGTTATCCTAACATATATGTGCTGCCTGCCCTGTTCCTTTCCCTGTTTTATAGGTGGAAGAACTGAGCCTTACATTTCTGGGAGAATCCTTTTGGCTCTAGTCCCTACACTAAATAACTTCTACTCATTCCCTTTCCTTAGATGAGTACTGGTTGACCAGCTTGAAGAAATCAGATTGTTATAGTCCTTACTACAACATCTGAGAGGCCTTTGAATATTCTTAAAAACCAAGTTCACCAAGATTTGCATTGTTTCATCTGTTACTGTAGATATTAACTCGCATTTTATAATAAAACAATTTCTTGTAGTTAATTCCACACATGGTATTGATTCACTTACTTATTCCTTTATATATTCATTATTTCATCAGATATTTAATATCTGCTATGTCCTAACTATAGGATTAGATGCTGGGATACAGCCCTGAGCCAAACTGATAAGACTGAACTTTCATAGAGTTCACAGCCCACTTGGAAAAAGACAGACACCTAGCAAATATTTATAATTGTGACAAGGGGATCACAAGCTAGCCATGGGGAGCTATGAGATCTAAATGTGGTTTGGGAATGGTTGTAGAATTCCTTCATAGGGGTTTATATCAGTATCTGAAAAGGGTTGGGATGGGAGTGGGTAGAACTATTTCAGGTGGAAGGAATAATGTGGAATTATTTTGATATGGAACAAAACATAGTGCTTTTTTTTTTTTTTCCTTCTTTTTCTCGGTATCAGGGCTTTGAACTCAGGACCTTGGGCTTTCGAGGCATCTCTGAGCTGAATGCCTGGCCCAGAATCATAGTGCTTTTTTAAGGTGCTGGAAAAGTGCCAGCTTGCTGAAATGTGTTGACAATTGAGACTTGATTTCTCATGAGTAGGAAGGGGCTTAACTCTACATTAAGAGCAATTGGAAGTATTTTAAGCAGAGGCACAGAGTAATCAATTTGTTTTAAAGATTTCTCATTACAGAATGGACTTTTGTGATTCTTTTCCTGTCTCTCTAAACTGTAAGAACTAGGGCAATATCCTGTTTATATTAAGAGCATGGAGTCATGTTTGAAATGTGAAATGCATGCTGTTAGTATTTAGTTCTAGGTAAGTGGAATGGTATGTACACAGGTAGACCAGCATAACTGTTATTGAAGTTAAACTGTGTATTATTGGTGGGTAAGCAGAATGTGGTAGGAGACAGCAAGTAGTAGATGGTTACTAAAAGGATGTGGATGCTGTACTCGGATTCTTTTCCAGTAAGAGGTAGGGGAATCAGTGAAGAGGAGGAGGATGAGATCTGAGTTGGGCTTTAGCAGGTGCCGACGGGCTGCAGTGTAGCAGTGCAGTAGGGTGTTACAGAGATGACATGAGTGAGGATGTGGGTAAGGTCGGAAGACTAAGTTGGGAGCTGGCTCTGAGAAAGGAGGTAGGCTTTGTGGAGTACTAAATACGCACATGGCACCTTCTTAGAATTCTGCCGTACTGTCTGGTCTTTGCAATTCTAGGCTATAGGTATCATCTTTAATGTTTTGTGTCTTATATTAAAGCCCAGAGAATTGATATGCTTTGGCCAAGAATTTAGGGCCCATAGAGGTCAAATTTGAACCCCAGTCTGTTTTACTTCAAAACCTTCATTGTATTTCCTTTTCCTCATGGACTAGGAGGTTGGAGGGTAATGATTAGAAAGTGCAGTGTTAGGATTCGGGATGTCAGAGGATGAGCAGTTTTAGGTGAGAACAAGTATAGACTGTAACTTGTAGGAGAGGGTTACTGAAATGAATTGGAGGTTAAGACCATTGGCAGTTTAAAAACAGCCTCCTTTGGCCCCCAGCATACATTTTCCTCTGAAGTAGGTACTTTTCTGGTCTTTATTTTGTAGGTAAGGGAGTTAAGATGAAGCAAGTTAAATTACTCACCTAAAGTCATAGAGCTAGTAATTTTACAGCTTGATTGTTCTGTGAATTTTCAGTTCCTGATGGCTGAAATTGAGGAATAAAATAGTACTAGAGTCATGACTACTAGAAGTAAAGTAAAAAAGCTGAGTTTTGTCTCTGCCATTCACTTGCTATACCCTGTGCTAGTCATTTGTCCTCAGCCTGTTTCTTTGAAATTTAGTGTGACATGCTTACCTTCCTCATATTACAGAAGGATGATGTTACTCGGCCAAGACCGTACAAGTGGCAGAGCAAATGTTTGGAATCCTGTATGTCAGAGGCCAAAACTCAGAGTCTTTCCTGTTGCTATTAAATAAAACTCTAGAATTTAGCAAGGTCATAGGATACAAAGTGAATATTATAGAGCTTAGTTGTATTTACATTTTCCATAATGAATATAAAAATAATAGAAAATGAAATTGAAAATTTTAAATTTATGCTACTGTTCATAGCATCACAGGATATTAAGGACACTTAGGAACAAAATAAGACTGTGTAGAAAATATTGATTAAGTGTACTTTCTTGGATTTGTAAAGTCAGGTTTTTTGTTTTTCCAAAGAGTAATTTTTTGGTAAATATTTTTTTAGATGCTGTTAATGAATTTTACTTTTTCATTCGTACACGTTGGCAGTACATAATGATTATATTTATTATGGGGAATTGGTACATCATGTACATAATACATGTTCATTCTTCTCTCTTCTCCCCCTTCCCTCATGCTCCTGCTCCGTCCAACTCTTGGTCCCCTTCCCATTTGCAAAGCTGTGTTTTCATTGTTTTTTCACCTTTCAATTTTTTCCCCATCCCCTTTCCTTGTCTTCCTTCTTTGCCCTTTATCTTGTTCCCCCATCCATTTGAAAACATCTCCCTCCTTCCTGTTTATCTTCTGTTGTGCTATATAGAGAGGAGGATAGGAAAGGAAAGGGAGAGATATAGGTTATCATAAAAGAAACCATTAGATATTTAAGCTTGTATATTTAATTTATTTCACTTAATATTATTGTCTCAGGTTGTATCCATTTGCCTCTGAATGCCTGATGTTTATCTTTATGGCAGAATAGTACTCCATTATGTTTTAATACCACATTTTCTTTATCTATTCATCTCTTGATAGGCATATAGGCTGCACTATTTAGCTGTTACAAATTGTACTGCTGTAAATATGGGTATGCCTGTATCCCTGTAACACGATGACTTTAACTCTTTGGGGAAGATAAGAGGTCAAAAGGATTTTTTTAGTTTTCTGAGGACTCTCCAGACTGATTTCCATAGTGGTTTGCATTCCTACCAGAGTTCTTTTTCCTCACATTCTTGCCAGCATTTGTTATTATTTGATTTCTTGATAATAGCCATTCTTGAGTAAAATGGTATCTGTGTTGTTTTAATTTGCATTTCTGTAATGGCCAGTGATGTTGAACTTTTTTCATGTATTTATTGGCTATTTGTACTACTGTCCATTTTGGTTGCCCGTTTTTTGATTGGGTTTTTGGTAAATATTGAGCAATTTACTATTTTGTATCAATTTGCTTTTATTATAGTTGATGCTGATGTAACAGTGATAGGTTCTGGTCCTGGAGGATATGTTGCTGCCATTAAAGCTGCCCAGTTAGGCTTTAAGGTAAGGGTTAAGGTTTTCAAACTAGATATACATACATGATGTACATTATCCGGGACAAGAAGATCATGCTCACAAAATACTTTGCAGATAGAAACATGGTAAATCAGTTCTTAAACCTATAAATTATTTTGTAAGCCTAAGACTAATGGAGAGTTTATTTGATTTTTAGCATTCTCATAGACTAAAAAGTAAAGTCCATTATTTTTCACTTCCAAAAACTTGATTTGGGCTTTCAATCGTGCTTTGGAAGATCCAGTGATAGAAGTAAAGCCATATAGATGGTCATCTTTTAGAGTAATTCACTTTGAGGTTACTCCAAGTTTCTTACTCAGATGATAAATTTTTAAAAACTGTGTTTGAAGTCTCTGAAAAACACAGCTTTAGTAGTTTGTATGGAAAACAATTAGGACAGATACATTTGGAATTTTAGTTGACTGAAACACTGCAGGTTATATGTGGACAAATGATATTTTCTTTGGTTGTAGACAGTCTGCATTGAGAAGAATGAAACACTTGGCGGAACATGCTTGAATGTTGGTTGTATTCCTTCTAAGGTGAGCACATGTTTTGAACAGGGCAGACTTTTCCCACTTGTCACCAACTACGTGGATGTGTTGAGACTGTGTCATTAATTAACATACCTAGTAAAAGCTGAACCCAAGTACAATTAAAAAAGTTTTTCATTGTAAAATATAAGAGTGCTATCACTAGCTAACACATATTCCTGAAATAGTTTCCTCGTCTGAGAGTATCTGGCCTTTTCAGATTGATGTTCTAGTTTTTTCTCTTTAGCTTTCTTTTGCCATTGAAATGGATAGTGAGTAGTAAATTCTACATTGAGGTTCCTATGTGTGTAAACATGACTGCCTTTTTAAAACCTGCTACCCTGAAGTGTGTTCTTACGCCTTTTAAAGAAAGTAAAGCTATTTTTGTTTTTCCTTGTTGGTAGAATGTTTTTAATGTCATTATTGTTTGTCTTAATTATACAAAACAAGAAAATGAACTGGTATAGTCATATGTACTGTTCAGTGGCAAGAAACTCATTTATGTGTTTTTGACTGTAGAGAGTCTGTTTATGAGTAATAGTTTTTGTTTCCCTTAGGCTTTATTGAATAACTCTCATTATTATCATATGGCCCATGGAAAAGATTTTACATCTAGGGGAATTGAAAGTAAGTATACTTTTTATGTTTAGCAGTATTACCAGGAATGCTTGACTCCTACTGAATACTTGTATCTATTATATTTGAATAGATTTTTAGTGTGAAAAAGGTAAAGAATCTTGAAAATGTATAGATATTTAATTAAGAGTGTTTAGATCAGATTCTTACCATGATATTTCTGTTCCTTTTCCCTGAAGTCTGTTATTTTTGGGGTAGCTGGGTTGTCAAATTTTGATTTCCCTGTCACCTAGAAATCCCTGGGGAGGCTGGATTTCTTGAGTGCTATGAACAGATAAGGAGGAAAGGCAGGCAGGCAGCCCTGGGTTTCTGAAAGAAGGGGCTCTGTGTAGGTACCTACATGGTATGGAGGAGTGTACACTAAAGCAATACATTCAACTACGTGAAAAAATAGAATAATGCTAGAGGAGAAGAGATAGCAGGCTTTATATTCTAGCTCTGTGACCCTGATAAGTCAGAAATCCCTGAGGCCTATTTCCTCATCCCTAGGATAGTTGTTAATTAGGTAAGCTGACAGCCCCCCAGACCCCCACCCCCATGTTGGGGAAAGAACCTGGGCCTTGCACATACTGACCAAGTACTCTGCTGGAGCTGATTTCTACGATAGCCTTGGCTCTAAAGTTCTATTGAGTTGAGCATTCTTATTTCATATTGTTGCTTCAGAATACTCTTCTGAGTTAATGAGTAGTATCTAGTTGATTAGAGCAAACCCTTTATTAAGCTTCTGTATTTGAACTCTTCAGATATCTACTGTATTAGTTTTTGCTTTGTGAAATTTAGAATTTCCCTTTACTTCAAATTTCAAATTTCAGTTTGTCTTTTTTATTTTGGTCCTGGGGATTGAACTCAGGACTTTGTACTTGCGAGGCAGGCAGTGGCACCACTGAGCTAAATCCCTGTCCCCCTACTTTGTCATTGTTACTTACATATCTTCCGGATTGGTAACTGCCATCAGGTGTTTGAAGAATGTGTCACAGTGGGATATGTTTTATTTTAGACTGCCTTTTTTTTTTTTTTTTTTTTTTTTTTTTTTTTTTTTTTGGTATTGGGGATTGAACACAGGTACTTGGACTTGTGAGGCAGGTGGCGGAACCACAGCTAAATCTCCAGCCCTTTGGACTGCATTTTTACTCAGGATGTGTTTTTAGCATTTGTTTTGATAGACACTGCTGTTGTACAATGTCAGCTTTTTATGATTTTCAGGTACTCAATTTAAAACTTTTAATACTACCTTTGATACAGTTCTCTCAGCATTTAGCTGAAAAATTTCAGACCTTACTAAAAAAACCATACACTGTTTCAAGAATCTAGCTAAGGACTTAAAAATTTATTTAACAAATTACAGTGTCTGAAGTTCGCTTGAATTTAGAGAAGATGATGGAGCAGAAGAGTAATGCAGTAAAAGCTTTAACAGGAGGAATTGCCCATTTATTCAAACAAAATAAGGTTGGTATTCAATGTTTAGATTTCTCCTTTGTTTTATATACTCATTAAATGTTGCATTGTGCTAATAAAATGATGTTATTAGAACCTGACTGCTGAGGGGATGTGGATTTAATTTAATTTAATGTTAACCTGAAGTAGATTTTCTTGACATATGTAAGTTTTTTGCTGGCATTACTAAGTAATGAAATGTTTTTTATTATATTTTATTTACACAGTATTTTTCCCTGTTTTAAAAAATCATTTTAGACCTTTCTGAATTTATAAATATTATTTTACAAAGGTGGTTCACGTCAATGGATACGGAAAGATAACTGGCAAGAATCAAGTCACAGCTACAAAAGCTGACGGCAGCACTCAGGTTGTTGATACAAAGAACATTCTGATAGCTACGGGTTCAGAAGTCACTCCTTTTCCTGGAATCACGGTATTTATGCTTTCTAATTTACAACGGTTACAATCTTTAGAAGTGAGTTTTATAAATTATTATATGCTATTCTGAATGAGAGATTGCTTACTGGAACACTGTTTTAACAGTCATTCAGCTTTGGAAAGTCACTTGACCTTATTTTGTAATGATTCTAATCAGATGTAAAACATGTTAAGATATGTTCAAGTTCAGAATCTTTTTCCTTTGGTACCGGGGATTGAACTCGGGACCTCAAGTTCAGAATGAAGTTAAAATTGACCATTTTGTTGTAGAATGCTGAATAATAAAATATAAAGTTAGCATTTTTAAGGATATTTGATGAAGTTGGGTGTATAGAAATCATAGGTACCTCAAAACAAGTAACTTCATATTTTTAGTGATTTTTTGGAGTGAAATTAGTTTATAGAATACTGGATTTTTCTAAGTAATGTTGGTTGTACCTTTTTCTATCATAGATTGATGAAGATACAATAGTGTCATCTACAGGTGCTTTATCTTTAAAAAAAGTTCCAGAAAAGATGGTTGTTATTGGTGCAGGAGTAATTGGAGTAGAATTGGTAAGTGGTGTCTTTCTGTCTTATTATCTCCGTAGGGTTGGAAGGGATTTAAAGTTCCCATTTGATTCTTTATTTAAAATTGTACACTGCTAATAATAGTGAATATACATTTTCTTCTAAGACAACCTACTTTTGTAATCGTGAGTCCTCAGGCCATTCTTTTATTTTACAGTCTTCGTCTCTGTTTCTTCCACCCTTTTATTTCCTTGAAACTGATCTTAAAAACTGATCTAATTCTGTTTTAATGGGACAGCCTTTCAGATACTTAAAGGTAGTTTTCGCTCTGAGCAAATTGCATTCCAGATGAAGACCACACCATTTACTATGGCATACACAATACAACTCTTCCATCCCCTCTCCACTTAACATTTTGCATTTCTCTGACTATACTGTTCGTACTTTCTGCCTGCTGGCAGCTTTCCACATAACTTCCAGTGGCCTCTTCCTTCATTTTAGGTGTCTTCTTTCAGGGCCGTTGCACCTTCCTTGCATTAAGATGATGCTCAAAGAATCGCTCTGCTTCTGAAAATATAAATTTAAACATTGTATTCTCTACAGCCTCCTTTCCTCTTAGTTACTCCTAACATACGTCTATACTCCTAACTAGATTGTTATAGTTCAGAAATGTCGTAGTGTGCTCTTTCCTATTTTGACTGCATTACTGATTAGTTTAGATTCCATAGTCCATCACTTTAATCACTCTCAAGGTGACCTGGAGTCACTTGGCTCGTTGTGTTGTATTTGCATGGTGCAGCTCTAGTACTAGTTAAATCCACCTTTCTGCCTTTTAAAGTGCTATTTCCAGAGTGCTGACTGTGCCTGGAGAAAAGACAGACCCTCAAAACCTCAACAGAAAGCCTAGCCTGGTTGGCAGTCCACCGTTCCTAGTTGCTGTATTGTCCTGGTCTCGGCCATAGCTGTGTGATCTCCCACTCTTGCTTACACCTCCAGTGGTACTGACTTCCCCTGCAGCAGCTGTCCTACCTCCTGAGGGTCACATTAAAGAGAAGCCATCAGAGGAGAGCTCCTTCCTCTTGATGTCCCAGATTAGAAAATGCCCTTTCTTGTTTTCGCAGCTATCCTTTTCTCTTCTTACTGTTACTTCCTCTCTAAGATTAACCCTTTCATCTGTGCTTGGTAGCACGTCATCATCTACTTTCTCAGGGACTTAGTTGTGTGATTTTTAAAAACTTTACTCTTGCTTGTGTTTTAGTCCTTAAACCTTTTCTCCTTCTGCTCCTTGTTTCAGGTGAACGTGCTTGTGTATACTTTGTGCTGCACACACGTGCTCAGGTGCATTCACACTTGCAGGCTTGGCTTACATTCACACGAACCCTTCTGAGTTGGTGTCCTGCGGTTATTGATATCCTTTTCATTTCTCTTCGCAGCCAACCTTCTCCAAAGAATTTACCATGTTCTGTTTCATGCACTCCTGCTCGTTCCTCAGTCCTTGGCTTCTTATGCCAATAATTGCTTCTGAAAAGGACAGTGGATTTATTGCTGAATCCAGTGGACTGTTTTCATCATTGTGTTGTTTGGCAGCAGTCATCGTTGTGATGTCTTGCTTTTGAATTGCTTTTCCTAACTTCTCCAATTCCATACTCTGCTGGTTTTACTCTGTCCTTGGGGGTGGCTTCTACGCAACTTATCACCCCAGCACCCCCCCCACCTTTTTTCTTTCTTTTTTTTTTTTTTTT